AATTTTTTTTTCTTATAAGACTATTGAGCTTTTTTTTTCTTCCTTTTCCAATGTTAAAAATGGGTCGAATTTCTCTGAATATCAAAGAAGGTGCCAAGGTTTCTGTTTTGGGCTCTGTTGTCGGTAAAAGTATTGCACGTCCACTTTTGGGAGAATCATGAAAAACCAAACGACTTTTAGCAACTGTTCTACGAGTGGCACCGAGCAAAAATTGTTGGATAATTTCTCTTGACTTGCAACCAGAAAAAGAATTGGAAGCTTAGGTGGGTCGTATGAAGTTTGTGAATTCTTCCCCAAGAAGTGTAGGTACTAGTCAATGTATAAATAATAAATTAGAAGAGGCAAGTGGTAGTGAAACGGATATTTTTAGCACTAGTGATAGCGAGGGTAGTCAAAGTGAGGGTGAGGAAGCAATAAGTATTAATAACAGAAATAACACACGATGGATTGATGAAATTGCTACTATTGATCCTCGTCAGGTGTCCTGCTCTTATTCTGGTACACCAGTTGTACACATTTCTGACATCCCCAATGCAACGCCTAGGCAGTTTTTTGAGCGTTTTATGCCTGTTGATTTTATAATGTCAATAGTAATTCCATCAACAAATAAACTTGCGCATGAATGTGAATTTGGGTGGATTGATTTAACCTGGATGGAATTTATGAGATTTATTAGTATATTAACTATTATGACATATGTAAAATGCGCAGATATTTGCGATTATTGGGCAACTAAACAAAAAACAAGTGGAGTTTTATTGACCTTTGGTCAATACATATCGCATCAACGATTTCGAAATATTATAAAGTACTTAACATTAATGGACGTATAAGGAAATTGACGATCCCTTTTATTTTGCGCGGCAGTTTCACGATGCATTCAATGAAAATCTTACACAAGCTATTTTATCTGGATCATACCTTTGTATAGATGAATTAATGTGTCAATGGATGGGTAAGTTAGACAAAGGTCCGTTTCAACAAAAAATACCGAGAAAGCCACACCCAATTGGTTGCGAATTTAAAGCCATTGCCGATGCACAGTTTAATTTGTTTCTAAGATTAGACCCAGTAGAGCCTCCAGAATATAGTATAAAAAAAAAATTCTCAGACCAATACCCACCAACCATTGCATCAGTATTAAGATTAGTAGAACCATGGTTCTATAGTGATAGAACAGTTATCACAGATTCGTGGTTCGGTAGCACCGATGCATGTATTAATTTGCATAGCCATGGTCTTTATTCCATTTTACAAATTAAAAAGCGTCGTTATTGGCCTAAAAATATCCCTCATGACATTACAGATGCTCTTGAGGATGAATATGGATCATTTGTTAGTCGAACCTGTAAAATAAATAGCACTGATTTAACTGTATGTTCGATTCGTGACCGCAAAGATATTGTTCTCCTTGCTAGTTGTTCTACAACAGTTCCTAGGTCAGAAATAAAGCGATATATCAAGGATTTTGGTGATGTAACATTTCATCGGCCTGTTGTATTTGATGAGTTTTGTGAATGTAAATCGGCAGTAGACATACTTAATAATTTGCGTGATAATACGCTTTCTTATCATGATGTTCTTGTATCTAAACGCTCAGTAGATCGTATCTTTGCTTTTTATCTTTCTGTAGCAGATGCCAACAGCTTCTCTGCATATTGTCGATTTGTCCCGGGAAGACGAGATATGAAGCACGTCGATTTTTGGAAGCGATTAACAAAATCGATCTTTGAATACTATACTAATACGTCAGTTGCCGATCGAACTAAAAAAAGAAGAAATCAAGATTCGGATAATTTTGAGTATAATCTTACTAGTTTTAATAGTGATTCTGCAGTTTCACAGGATGAGGGAAAGTATATTCAACGCCGATGCATGAGCTGTCATAATCGTACAACTACCCGTTGTAGCTGTACAGCTTCCCGAGGAATGTGTACCGATTGTTGGGCCCAGCATATTCATTTGTTGTACGGTGCAGTTATATCAAGGTTAAATATTTTTTTTACATATTGTTTAAGGTTTATTTTACTGTTTTTTAAAAGTAAATTTAAATTTTTTTTTTATAGTTAGCTGCATGATGGCTTTTAATACTGTACTAAATTTAGTACACCCATATTTGCAAAATTGTAGCAGATAATAAAATTATTTTTTTTTATTATCTATATTATAAATATAAATAAAATTTATATTATTGAATAAAGTAATATATAGTGATTTTTAGATCTTAAAATTATTTAATTTTATTAAGTTTTGGCATTTCTATGAATTTTATAAAACTGTCTAGTTTTAGTACAAATCAGTAAATCCAATCCATTAAGAAAATAGAATTAAAAATTTATTAAAAATCATAAAGGTTATGTTTATGAAATAATTATTAATAATACCCTTTTTTTTTCTCTATTTATCAATTTCAAAGTAAAACATCCTACACTCTGAAAGAAGTGGATGATTTACCCGAATAATGGTAACTATAGTCATCAGGATCTTTAATTAAAAGGTTTTTAATAAATTAAAAGACCGTAATGATATTCTTTAAATACTCATGATAACAGTGACACATTAAATATATTTTTACAAGATTTCTCATTTTCATATTACCGTATAATTCACTTCAAGCCCACTTCTCTATGTCATTAACGGTGATTTGTCTTTGATATCCTGTACAATCAGCAACATAATCCATCGCATAATGCTCGATAAGTAAGACATCACTTTCTAGGACTTTTGGGAGGGAGTAAAATGAAACGAACATATAAAAATAAACAAATATAGGCCAATTTCATTGATCGATATAAATCAAGTGGTCGGCGAGAGTTATCTAGCGTTTTGTTTGGTTGTTCATTTTCGGGAGGAGGGGGGTGATGTTAACTGAAGAATTAACTTCGAATGGCCTAAGTATAAATATTTTATAAATCGATTATATCAGAAAAAAAAAATCAAATTTTTGTCATGTAAAATAATTATTATAAGTATCATGTGACCCGTAATTTTGAAAATAAAAGTGCAATAATTCTGTAATTCTAGAAAAACCAAATTTTATTTGTTCTAGAATATATAATATCTTTTTTTGTAACACCGAACTATGTATCGATATACAATTTGTGTAATCAATCCTAATATAGTGATGATCTGACCACTTTTGCCATGTAAGGTATATTAAAATTATGTTATATTTTTTTTAAATCGTATCTCCTCAATAAATAAGTTCAAATTCGCAAAAAAAAAAGCATACCTTTGTAAAATTTATATAGAACTACAATAGAATGCTTTTTTTTTTTGCAAATTTTTAAATATTTATTGAGAAACTATAGTTATTTAGATACTTTTAAATGATTGGCACCGTAGCTATTTTTGTGTCAAAAAATTGCCATAGTACAGCCAAAAGAAATTACAGTTTAAAATTTTTAATTATTCGAATAGTTTTAAAATAAAAAAATAAAGAAAAACAAATAAAATACAAACATGTTCAAAGCAAAATGCAAAATGCAAAAAGCAAAGAAAAATCGAAACGAAAAGTGAAGTGAAAAGCAAAGCAAAAAACAAAGCAAAAGCAAAGCAAAAGCAAAACAAAAAGCAAAGCAAAAAACAAATCAAAAAGCAAAACAAAAAAAAATTACGATCTATGATCTACTTATATGATCGTCAATCTAAAAAATGATTGGTCGATCATATAGGGGTCGCCATTTAATTTATTTTATCATTTTATTAATTAAATTTTGAACAGTACTGGCGATGAAATGAATCATTCAACACCTAAGAAAACTCGAGATTGCTGTCGTTCTAAAAAAACTAATTGCAACACCAAATCTTGCTCGTGCAGAAGAACCAATTTATTATGTTCAAGGCGATGTGGGTGTATCTTGCGTGGCCAATGCAAAAATCGCTAGATAATTTTTTTTCCTGAAAAGAGTCGCATTTGGTTTAATTAGCTTTATTTCATATTATCTTTTTTTTTAAAAAAAAAACAATAATAGTCGCTTATAGTTTTTTTAGTGCTTAGTTTAGAGAAATTGCATTTGACAGAAGCAGAAAATATTTTTAATGAGTGTCTGTGAACATCGTTCGATGAAATTCATACCGATTCCAAAGCAAGATACGCTATTCTTGGATTCGTAAATAGCACATATGAGTGCTGCAGAGCAAAAAGCTGGAAGTGAATATTTTAGGTTTTCACTATGGCGAGTTTAGCCCCTGATGAATTGCAACATTACGTATTGAAAATCAGTGTTCTGGTAATTTGGTAACGTGCGTAATTTAAAAATCGGTTAATTAATAGAGCCGATGAGCCTAATTTGTATTTCTATATTAAAATGATATATACTATCGAAACTGATCGTACACATGATTAATTACGTAACATCAGAATTCATCAGGGGCTAAACTCGCCATATTGAAATCTTTAAATATTCACTTCCAGCTTTTCGCTCTGCAGCACTCATATCAATTCCGAATCGACGGAAATCAATAAACGACACGTAACATATATAACTTAATTTTATTTTAACTATAACAAAATACATTTATCAAATATATACTATTTATTTATAATAATAACGATAGATAATTTCTTATTTCAATTAGGAATTGGGATCATTTAACCGCATAAAAATTATTCTATAATCCGAGCCAAATATACTAATGAACCAAAAGTATCTTAATACTAGCTAAATTAAATGATTAAAATATTTAAATAATTAGAAAAATTTTAGGCGATTCTAATCCCTAATTTTAATAGATATTAAACATGCATTATTGAAAATTTCAAGTAATAATTCCTAATTATTATTATTATTACTCAAATTCGGTTTAATCTTTTTATCAGATGTTTGTTCATCTAATTGTTGAATTGTGTCATATCTCCTTTTTCTGATACGTAACTTTTCTACACGTTTCTTATGGTGATAAATTACATAATTCAAAAACCCATGTTTGGTTAAGTCGATAAAACTTTTATTTTCAGGCTTTTCTACAAATGTAACGCAACCCTTTTTGATTTTTAATAATCCTCGATTATGTAAGTTGATGTTTCTAGAAAGTACAATTTTCACACCATTCTTGCCAAAATTTTGATCGTTAGTATTCCGATTTATTTGAATTTTTAATTCGCCACCATGGTCTAATCTTGTTACCATCGGGTCATCTTTTTCTTTCGTATCATCATCTTTTTTATTCGTTATCTTGACTATCGAATGTGCGTACACTTGAATTCTTATAATGATAGTACCGGTTTTATCATCTTGTTCTATAGCGAAATTATTATGTTGACGATGTTTCAAGAAACTATGTTGTCTAACAAATTTTATCTTATTATTACCGTTACTAACCGTCAATTCATCATTGTGACAAAAGAGGCTTTTAAATTTTCCATATAGAGTATCATTTTTGAACCTTATAATAAAATTACACTTATCACGCCTAACTTCACACTCATTATTTATAGTCAATGGCTTGAAGCTTTCAGTTAAATCTTCTTCATAAACCATTTTGTCGTATGTGAATTTTATGATATCTTCGTTGTTTGTGAATCTTTTGATATAATCATAGTACTTTAAATTAATAAGCTTATTTCCTTCAACAGACAGTCGTATGAAGTTTTCATATGGGGGCACTTCATACTGCAAGAAGAACTTATCATGATTTTCTTTTTTTAATATTGCAAACCAGTAATCAGTACTTTTCGGTGCATATTTGAAAGGGTCATCTTTGATTTTTAAGTCGTTACTATTACCCTCTTCTGCGTTTACTTCATATTCAAGATAAATTTTACCATCTTTGATGTTTAACTTTGTACTACCATCTAATTTTAACTTCTTTTTTAATTCATTGATCTCTTTATCAAGCTCGATAGTTTTGTAGTGGTCGTCTTTCTGTTTATATTTATGTTCATTATTTGAATCTTTAAACCAAGAACCATTTAGGTTTACCCTATATAAATGAATAATGTTTTTGCCTTTATTATTCAGTGCTTTACATTTTAGCTCTCTTTTATTAACAAGGTAAACCTCTCCATTTTTAATTTTTAATTTCCAGTCACCATCTAGGTTAATATTTTCATTATGTTTTGCCTTTTTTATTTTGAATTTATTTTTGTTTTCGATCAATATCGATATGTCTTTGTCCGCAATTTCATCATCTTCATCATTTTCTTTTACTTTGTCGATTTGGATTTTTATATCGGAACCATCAACATTTGAATCTTTTGCATCATCTGAAACTTTTATACTTACTTTAACACTTCCATTAATACTTTTAAAATCCGTTGCCTTTTTACTTTCAAATCGTAGTTGTTGAATTAATTTAATTTTATTATCTTTGACAGATAATCTTGCTTCCCAGTAATCCCAGTTATCCCAGTTATCCTCCCATTTATCGTATCGTATTCTCCCTTTTCTATATAGGTCTATTTCATCGTCACCTTCAATTTTTAATGTCTCCAAATCCACTAATCTATCTTCCTGATTAATTTTTATTTCATCTTCAACAATGTTTAATGTTACATTATGCAAAGGTATTGGATCTTGTTGATCTTTTTTGATATATTGAATTTTTCTACATTCAATTTTAAATGCACTAGATTTTGATGTAAAATATTTTTGCTTTTTCTTTACATATCCCACTAAAGATTGTTTCCATGTATAATATCCATTCGAAAAATTCATAAAGAGAAAAAATGCAAGAATTCTTATTGGAAGCTTATATTTATATTTTAAATCTTGAGCTTCTTCTTCAATATTTTCTTCATAATCAATAACCCTAAAACAATTACTCTCATCATCAACTTCCATTATATAATTGTGAATTACTCTCTGATTAGAAAAGAATGCTGCTACAGCTCTTGATAAGACCATACCAACAAGAAAATTAAATAAACTATCAATTATTGGAAGTGAACAAATATACGCATATGCGAAAAATACTTGGATTACTGATAAAAATAATGTTAAAAAGAAAACTCGTAAAGGAAAAAGATTAATGCTATTATTATCTTTGGTTTGAACATCTTCATATTTTAAACTTTTATAAAACCAAAAATGCCAAGCTAAATAAATTGATAATAAAAGATAAGCAATATTAATAAAAAAACCTAAAACGCTTGAATTAATAATATAATATGCTTCACTATTCATTGAGTTTAATCTCACAAAATAATCATAATATAGACCAAAAATATTAGTTGCCAAGATTGCAATTGCACAAAATAAATGTGCAAATGCTGTAAGAAATTTTAAATAAAATTTCTTATTTGGTGATATATCATAACGATAATTAAAATCATGTATTATAGATATAATTATCCATGAAAAAACAATCCAAAGTGCTAATATAATGTACCCAAATTGTGTTCTAAATGCATGATCATTTAATCTTCCGCATGTTTGACCAATAATATAAAATGGTATTACTGGTGAAAATCCAAAAAATAATATTACTAAATCATCAAGGAAAAAAGTAAGCCGCATCCAAAGGTTGATCGGATACCATAAATTGCGATAGTGAATAAAATTCCACCATATGTTATAATTTGACCAAGTTGAAGTAGCGCGGTATTATAGATGCGATAACTACTAAAAGTCTGTGATGGACATGTACCATTTTCATAAGGATATGCAAAGAAATACATGAAAACCCTATCATTATCATTATCAGCGAAAGTGGCTGGTAAATTAATGATAGCGATGATAAATAGTAATAATAGCATATAATAGTAATTCATAATAACTAAAATATCTTTTATGAAATTGTGAATAAAAAATTTTATGTCTAGAGAACGACGTAGAGAACGACGTAGAGTGAAATTAAATTTTGAAATGCATTATTTAAATATATTTTTTTATTAGTTATTGTGTTTGTTTATGAATCCGTTAGTTAAGTAACGCGACTAAGAACATTGTTAATCGATTATCTCGATCAATTCCGGATTATAGATGCTGGTGAAACTGGTAAAACTCTTGGCGAAGCTGGTGAAACTCTTGGTGAATGGTGGTGAAACTTTTGGTGAATGGTGGTGAAACTGGTGAAATTTAATATAACAGCCAATCCGATTTTAGATAGTCACCAGTTTCACTAGCATTATTTAATTTTACCCGGATATAGTAAGTGTTAGAATTTATGATTGTGTTTTTTTTTTTTTTTTTATAAATTTATTTGTTAAAGATCAGTTAGTACTCGTTTTATATGATAGCACAATAAAATCAAATGCTTCTTAAATTATTGACTTTAATAAAGTATTTATGTACACACACTTTATAATTAGGAATATTTGATTTCAATGCGTTAATTTCCCGCGGTACATCATTACTAATCATAACCCTAAATTTTTACCTTTTCACATGTACTAAATGTACGATACGTACAAGAAATCTAAAAAATTACAATAGCCTTTATAGAGACTAATTACCATTTTCATAATAGCACCTGCGCGTTATTTGGGATTTGCGTGATCATTTCTAAGTCATAATTAGTGTTCACCCGGGTGATACGCCCAGGATGGGATTCACTTATTTGCGCAACCCAAAAAGGAAATTTAATTTTGTAAATAAACTAGTGCGTAAAAAACAAACATAGGGTTAGGGCGTTAACATTAGAAGCAATAGTCATAGACTGTGTCCTTGTGAACACTGTGAACATATGATGAATACTATCATGAATGCTATTTTCGAGGTGGTCTATTGAAATTAAATATTTCCTAAATTATTAGCATCAATAAATGTGTGACTAAATGCTTTATTGGAGTCGATAATTTAAGAAATATGTGCTACTTGACTAAATGCTTTATTGAAGTCGATAATTTAAGAAATATGTGCTACTTGACTATACGTTACATTAATGTTATCTTTATAGAGATGGATTTTTTTTAACACCTGCCGGCATGATCATTGTAGGACGCCATACATCGAGGAGGTGTTCTAAGCAATGAAATACAGTTACGGGTATTCTGTCTCTGCTGCTTCGTGCAATTAAGCCAAGCCATAAAGCAGAATTGAAGGCATCGATAAATATGCCATAAATTGAATTTCGAAGTTTTTCTTTTTCTTTCCATTTGTTACGCTTTAATCACTAACAATACCTACCCGAGCGTAATGTACACACATATACAATTTTTTGTGACTATCTATTAAAAGCTTGAATTTGACTGTCGTCCGACACGCCAAACCCGACATAAATAAACAAACAATAAATCTTTGTGACTGTCGCCACCTACTAAAAACTCAAGATTTGATTGTCGTCCGACAGGCCAAAATATCGTGCCAAAAATGTCCGTTAGGCCACCCTACGAGGGGTGGGAGAGAGCGGGACGAAAAAACCGGGTTAGCAGAAAAAATAGAAATTATCTTGTCTGGGAAAAAACCTGTTCCCTTTAAATATGCCCTAACGATTACAAATCAAAAAAACGTAATTACGTCGTTACTATAACTAAACTATAACTAAACTCTAACGACGTAAATACAGTACGTCGTTACTATAACTGACTACGATCACTAAAGACAATACGCAATTACGTAACCCTATCAATAGACTCTAACGATTACAAATCGAAAATATAACTTAAATACGTAACCATATCGATAAGCTCTAAGGATAGATTAGTGGTGCAACCAAAATTCAGCAGACCGACCAAATTTAGGGTCGGAATAGGCCCGGAGCTAGGCCGGCATTAAGTAATAATACAAGACAACTATATTACAGTAGGGATTGGAATCGCCTAAAATTTTTCTTAATCGTTTAATCGTTTAACCGTTTAGCCGTTTAATTTGGCCGGCATT